AAAACAAAAATGAAATCAGTTGTATCATAAAAAAATAACCCCATCCAACCAAATACACTACTACTACTACTACCCACCCCCACCCTCCCCATCGTGCGACACACACTCCATCCGACCACACTTCCACCACACACTGTTCCTAGCCCCCTCAGAATACCCCAAATTGGAGCGACAGACAAAACCGAAACAATCTATTTAAACTTTTAAAACAAAATCATTTAAACGAGACTACAATAGTCCAGTGTAAAAAGTTCATGAAAACTTTACTTGTTCCCACTTCTGTAAATGTAAGGCCAATTTACCTGCCCTCCCTGCAATATTCTTTTCTTCTTCCCTAAATTTTAACAGTTCTTTTTGAAATTCCCCCAAAGACAATATTACGGACTTTCCCCTGCATCTATATATCCAATATTTCAATGCAAAAATAATTGTATAAAACATTTTTTTTAGTGGGGAGTTACCAGACAACCCTAAATGAATATGTTATAACATATCAGAAACATAGTTTTACTGTACACATTTATAGCATCATGATCAAGGGCGTCAATCCGAGTTTGAGCTTGGGGGGGGGGGGACACAATTACATGTCACCTTAACAGTTACTTTCAAGATTAATTTCAGAGTTTGATCTCTCACAGCAAATAATTATAGAACGATGTAGTTTAAACAGAACCTCTGCAGAGCGCGCGCTTATCTGGAATGTGATGGTGCGGTTAGCATTTGATGTAACATTGGCTGCTTTCTGCTTTGTATCAGAGTATCAAAGCTGCTTATTGATGTTCTCCCAGACTATTTAAACCGCAAAAGTGATCGACAATCAACTCTTTGCAAAGTGCGCGCTTCTCTGGAATGTGACGGTGCGGTTAGCATTAGATGTAACATGGGCGGCTTTCTGCTTTGTATCAAAGTATCAAAGTATCGAGCCCACAAGAAAGTGAAATTGTTTGAAATATGCTTTTGTAGGAAATTACATTTTATAGTAGTCATTGCCACGTTAAAAATGTCCATCAATCTTCAGAATGGATGGGGAAGTAGGGGCGGAGGACTCACAGCGTGATATCTAATCCTCTTTTTTTTTTTGGGGGGGGGGGGGGCTGTGATGAATTTTCTTTTTATTTAATGATTACACCATCGAGCCACAACTCGGCCTATAATTATTCATGGCCAAACTACTCGATTTTAGACATTATTTTGACCCAGAAGTTTGCTCAGTACCAGTATCACTTGCTAAGACAAAGGCATATAAGGGGGAAGCAGCCGGGTCACTATGCCCCCAAAAGAAGGATACACCCCCCCCCCCCCCGTCTGCCCTCGGAAATAATCGGGCAAAAAGTCCCAATTTCGGGCAGAAAGGTAAATAAAAGTTACAGAAAGAAGAAAATAAAGCAGCGCTGAAATTATTGACTGCAGAGCATCCTTCGTTATATCTTTTCGATAAGCCAAATATAAAAACATTACCAATATTCAACCTGTAACATGCTTTTTTTTATATATTTTACCTCTAACATTTTTACCTCTGACATTTTTACCTCTGACATTTTTTCCTCTGACATTTTTACACCGAGCCTACAATAGTCTTTTCACCCACATTACCCGTTGGGTTTTTACAAACGAGTCAAAATTAGTCATTCGTAACTCTTCTTCATCATAACCTTGATACAATATTAATCTTTTAATTCGATCTTTCCCATTCCATATAAATTCAAAACATATTTTCTGTATTTCCGATATGACCCACTTTGGAACCACTAGTGAAGCAAAAACGTAATTTAATTTATATAAAGCATATGATTTTAATACAAGAATTTTTCCAAACACCGTAAGGTCCATCTGTTTCCACCTTCTGAGAAGTCTTTTTATCTTGCTTAAAATTTGCTTATAATTCAATTCCTCTCTTATTCTGACGTCTAACGCAAAATACACTCCCAAAATCTTAATTTCTTTCACCACATTCCCGAAGGGAAGTTTTTCTGATTTGTCTTTTTTTATCCCCAATTTCATAATATTAGTTTTGTCCGCATTAACCCGTCAACCACTTATTTTCTTAAATAACGTATAAATCTCCTTTACTCTTTCTACGGATTCTTTATTTCTAACAAATATTGTCATGTCATCTGCATATAAAACTTTGTTTGACTTCAATTCCTCCAATATTAACGCCTTTAATAGCCTCATCATTCCTCACTACTGTTGCCAATATCTCAATAGCGAGAATAAATAAATAGGGCGAGAGTGGATCTCCTTGTCTAACCCCTTGCTTAATATCAAAATACCCAGTAGCAAAACCCCTAATCATAACACAGCTACTTATATTACTGTAAATAATTTTTACCCATGAACAAAATGAGGGACCGAACCCAAACCTTTCTAAGACTCTAAAGAGGAAAGTATAAGATACGGAATCGAATGCTTTTTCGAAATCAACCGCAATCAAATAACTACTGGCTTTATCATCTGACTCCTCATTTAAAAAACACAACATATCATCAATTTAACGTACCGCTTCTCCAATATTACGATTATTCATGTAGCCCTCCTGGTCTACGTGTATGACTTCCTCAAGTACTCCTTTAATTCTTGTAGCTAACACCTATTAACATTTAATAACGTGATCGGCCTATAATTTGTTATGTATCGAGGGTCTTCCCATTCCTTTTCAATCAAAGTAATGACCCCTTGTTTTTGTGATATGGATAAACTCCCCATGACATAACATTCATTTAAAGCATCTAGCAAAATATTTCCGATACTTAACCAAAACGTAATATAAAATTCAACTGTAAGGCCATCATTGCCAGGAGACTTGTTTAATTTCATAGCCTTCAATACCTTTAAGCACTCCTCTTTTGTTATTTTTACCTTCGCATTCTTTCCTTCCATTTTTACTTAATTTTTTAACATTTTTGAAAAACAAATTGTTCGTGTCCTTATTAAAAACACTTAATTTTTCCGCATATAAATTTGAATAAAACTTCCTAATCATCGCCAAAATTATGTTCCTATCATATTCAACACATTCATTTTCATCATACAATTCCCTTTCCACTGTTTCCCTCTTATTAGACAAACACGCACGCACCCTAACACACACACACACACACACGCACACACGCACACGCATACACATACAAACTATATTCTTCATTGATTAACTCCCAAAGGTTCTTTCTATCCTATAATGGTATTTCTGGAAAATTATTATCTGAATTGCTAAAAATTACATCATTAATCCAACGTGTCCCATATACAGAATGTAATCTTCGATTTAGTAAAACTTTACATATCAATTCATTAATTTCTTACCTTGTCGAATCAATGTTTCAACTTTGCAATAATGTAAATAAAGTTCGTTTTTAAAATCAATGAATATCTACTCTAAGCAAAACTGTTTAGGTAGGGTACCTTAACAGGATCTTGAAACGCCGAACAAACCCCGGTGTGTGCAGCTGAATATAAAATGACGTCCTATTTTGTTTACAAGCGACAAATTCCTTTATTTTTGTATCGCTGCATTTTTCATCAAAATAAAACCATGCGCGGGGTTTATTATACATTTAGCCTGACGGTAGTGAAGTAAGAGAAAGAACTTGAGAGAAAATGTGTGAGATGTCATGGGACATCGTCTGCTTGTGCAAGTCATGTCCAAACTGTGATCTCACACATCTCAGCAGCGTTCGGAGAGCTCTTCAAGTGCTATGCCGGGGCTGTATTTAAGTGTTTTGTAATTTATAATAATCATTACTTCGAATGTTTCCAAGCATTAAATTTTGATAACCTTGTCTATCTACTCTAAGCAAAACTGTTTAGGTAGGGTACCTTAACAGGATTTAAGAGCTAACTAACTGCATTGCCATTTAACTTGCAAGTAAAGTATATTAACTTTCGCTTTGTGGTCCAGATATCCCAAAACATATCCCTAAACGAAAGGAGCTTTAACAAATATGCTCCGAGTTAATTCTCTTCTCGCTTCTTCCTACTTGCTCTGATATCTTTTTAGTTGTTAATGTTACTGTTGTTGTTGTTTTGTTTATTGTGTATTTTAAACTATTGTTGTTATTGTTTATCATTACTATATACATTTTATACAATTTTACCTCATCGTAATCGTTCATCTTTCCGTCCCTCACAGTTCCCAGTCATTATTGTAATCTTTGTTTTCAATAGTCCCCACTCTTATTCCTACAGCAACGACCGAACCCATGACTAACCCAACAACACTGACACCTGTACAGGCGGAAACTCTGACATCTCAACCCACTGTTGGTAAAAAAAAAAGGTTGTTTCATTGTTGTTGTGTTTGTTGTTGATGTTGTTGTTCTTTTGCTTGTTCTTGATCTTCTTGGGATTTTTTCGTAGAGGGGAAGATATATCAGTAAGTTTGTAGTACTTTAGATGATAATCGTGCTATTATTTTCACGTTTATTTATTTGTCGGTTACACCATGTTGCCTGTAGAAACTCGAAGACGTTATGAACTCAATAGCTATTTAACCTCGAAGACAAAATTAATGAAAAGACAATTATGTGTTGTTTACTACCGCAATGGATTAGGCATATCTTTTTCTTTTAAATAAAGATAGCAATCGAAGAGATAAAAGCAACAAACGATACCAGCATCAGTTAAAGCATATGCATATACAAGTCATGTACGTAGATGAGAACAATAGAGGGGGGGGGGGGCTGATTATGATCAAATAGTGGACGAGCCAACCGAGGCCAACAAATTGCCAAATGATATCCTTGTTTATGAATGAAACATCCATCTAAACCAATGAAAGGGGAATAAAGAAAATAGATACATTGTGAATATTTTCACCAGTAGGATAATTGAAAGGTAATGCAATTGACAGTAGGCCTAGACTGTTTATGAAACAGATATCACTCGAAGACATCATTTATACAAGAAGTGCCAGAGTCGGAAATGTGGTGCTTAAGTGGTTTTAACACTTGGCAGTTGATGTATAGGTTTAAGATTCGAGTCTCGGTCCTGCACGGATATACATGAAGGGTATTTCTGGTTCATATTTTGACACAGGATTTTTTTTTTGGTAAAGATGGGAACATTGGATGCTAACAGGGAATAAGTTGAAGCAGTTTAAAGTTGTTGCTTTTGCTTTTTTATGCAAAATAGTAATTGTGTCACTTTTGTAATTAATGATGTGTAAAACTTATTTCCAGACATCGATATTTCTTTGCACTGCAAACATTTTTTTGCTCAAAGAAATGTCTTCATAATTTGTAGACATATCGCTCCGGTTGTCTCATTTTCGCTCGCTGGAACATTGCCAGCACAAACCACTGACCTCTACCTCCTGGACGGATCATCGCCCATTCCTATTCACTATACGTTACGTACTAAAAGGCTGTATTGTCTGACCGTTCATGAATATTCATGTTTTTGCTTACCTCGGCAAAATGTTTTCTTTTACTAAATGGAAAAATTACGGTGGGGGGGTTGGATGAAATGGACTAAATGAACCAAGCAGAAGAGATCTATGATAATTCATGCTTCTTATCCTTCGTGTGCTTGACCTATAATCTTAAAATCGCTTGGCAAACTGAGTCCAAAGTTCGACTTGTTTCACATGTGTATTATAGGCAATGACGAGCTTGCAACCCATTTTGATCAAATTACGGTGGGTGAACTTTCAAAAGTCAATGGGACATGCGGGTTCCAATGAAAGAGCTAGTGAAAACGTACGTCGGGGTTGATGTGCTTTTCGTTTTAACAAAAAAAAGAAGATTTTTTAACGATTTTGGGGGGGTAAAATTCCAACATGTTAAGCTGCTGACTCTGACGATAGGGGGCGTTGTGTAATGAGACTAAACGGAGCGATATGCATACAATTAAAATACCAATGAGTGATGTCCAGTAACTTTATTGAGTTAAAAGACTATTCAGCTCTGGCCAATTTGTAATATTTTTTATGATACATGACTTTTGTAAGAACACATTAATCTATTTCATTTAAGCCAAGTTTCTTTCTTTCAAAATAGGTCCTTTACAGGATGCTAGCCCTGTAGGCCTAGAAAGTGGGGCAATCCCAGATTCGAGCTTGACAGCTTCTAGTGAGTATGACACCAACCACGGTTCGCGCCGAGGACGATTAAACATAGTTCAAGTCAGAGGCCTGTTCGGAGGATGGTCTGCCAAAACAAAAGATTTAAACCAATGGATTCAGGTCAGTCTCTATTCCTGAATTTCTTTCTTGCTTGTTTGAAGTTTGTCTCACCTCATCACACGCTCAACCAAGAGATTAAACAAAAAAAGATTCCGTCAAATATTAATTCCTTCCGAAAATACTGACAGACTGAATATTTTGAACTACATATATGTATCATTTAATCCCGACGTATTCAGGGCTCATGATCTACAGCATTTTCAATTATACATGTATTAATTTAGTATTTGATGCACACATCCATGCAGTCCGAGCGATGAGCCGTATTACTACAGATACATATTCACAAATAGTCATAAATACTTCCGATCAAGCGTGCAAGAAAAGGCTATCCCACAATTGAACCACGTGACCAATCAACATCTGCATTCTATTGCAGAACTTTCTTTAGGAAAGGAACGCAGTTTTAATAAAATAAACCAAAAAATATCAGAATATGGCAAACAGTTTCCCCAACTCCCTTTCAGAAAAAGAAAAAAAAAAAAAAAAAAAAGAAGAAAAACAAGATTCAAATGACGAAAATCAAAAAACTAATTTTCAGAGCAGCCGACAGACTAAAATGAGGCTCTTTCTAAATTATTGCTAACAAGATTTCAAGATTTCAAATTCATTCATGTCTCCAACAAAACATTACAAATCAATTATAAGCATTTAAAACAAATTTAAGTAATACATGTTGGAAACAGGGGTCCACTAAAAAGCAATGGTTGTACAAGTATGAACACCTCAAATGAAACTTAGGAATAATGAGTAATTAAATTAACTAATCTGTAACTACAAAAGGAACTACAAAATAGGGGGGAAAGGGGGGATGCCAACAGAGACGAGAAAGGGATAAGACAATACTTTACACGACAAAGATAGAAGAACCCGGTCATTATACAAAGAGTAGACAATGACAAAAAGAAGTGAGATATCGAGGGTACAGAAAATAATACTAAATGATGAGCTGCATGTGGGGTTGAAAAGGGGATAAGGAAAGAGAAATGCGCGTTAGAAAGGAAATAAGCATGAGAAGGAACAATATTGAATTACATCTTGAGTCAGTGAGCGGAGAACGATTAACGATTGCTAAATATTTTCTTGAGGAATTGACGAAGTAACTCATGTAGGGTTATATATAGATGTCCTGTTAATACACAAAAATGGTATATATTTATATATGAATATATATATACATGAACATTAAAAAAAATCCCCAAAAAATATTATCTTCAACGTCATTTTATTCAAATCTCGGGTTGATCTTTTAGCTACGTACAACATCGTAGGAGTGGCAACGCAAGGTCGTCAGGACCAGTTCCAGTGGGTATCCAGCTTCAAGATTGCCTGCAGTATGAATAGTATTACATTTGATACAGTGAAAGACCCGAATAACACCGACAACGACAACGTACGTACTGATTTACTCATCCTTCAACCCGTATCAGTTATTTGGTCGATTACCGGTCACGTGAAATTTGTTTATTGAGCGTTTCTCAATTACTTTTATTTTTCATGATGTTAATCATAGCATTTATCTCTCTTTGAAATTACACTTTATTCTATTCTCAAGTGATTGATCTAGCGTGTTTTCCTCAGATCTTTGCCGGCAATAGTGACCGAAACACCGTGATTTACAATCGCTTTCCCGTGCCAATGTTGTGCCGATATGTTCGCCTGTTACCTTACACTTGGCGTAAACGTATTTCTCTTCGTATGGAGCTCTTTGGGAAACCCCTTGGTGAGTTCCTCCTTCATTTAAACAAAGAAAGGGTAAAATGTTATGTAGTGTCTATATATATTAGATGAGCTAGTTTATCAGGGTGACGGTCCCGGGCTCTTGCCAGCAGAAACGACCCGGAAATGTTCGGGGGGGGGGGCTGGGAGTCTAGGTTTACAGAGTAAGGACTATAACTACTCAGGTTATGAAATGCTTTAGAATGAAAAAAATTATTTACTTTTGTCATTTAAATATTGGAAATATTAACAAATGAATGGAGAAAAAAAATCCCAGAACAGTGAAACTTCGAGAAAAATATGAAAAAAGAAGTAAAAAGAAGGAAAAAAAAGAAGAAGAAAAAAAAATATAAAAAAATAAAAGAGAATTAAAAAGAAAAAAAATAATATTTAAACTCAACTTTTCATCAACGCTACAGTCATTTCAGTAGATTTAAGCATAACATTTTAGCCAGAGAAAGACGTTCTGCCTGCAATGATTTCTTTGATTGTTTACGAAATGTCTTCGAAATTTGCTGACATACAAATACAATGCCAATGAGTGAGGTCCAGTAGCTTTATTGAGTTTGAAGACTATGCAGCTCCGGCCAATATGTATTATTTATACGTACATGACTTTTGTTAGGATGGATGAATCTATTTCGTTTATAAAGCCATAGTTTCTTTCTTTGAAAATAAGGTCCTATCCAGGATGCTAGCCCTGTAGGCCTAGAAAGTGGGGCAATCCCAGATTCGAGCTTGACAGCTTTTAGTGAGTGGGACGCCAACCACGGTCCGCGTCGAGGACGGTTAAACGTAGTTCAAGTCGGAGCCCTATTCGGAGCATGGACTGCCAAAACAAACGATTTAAACCAATGGATTCAGGTCAGTCTCTTTTCCTGATTTTTGTTCTTGTTTGTTTGAAGTTTATCTCACCTCATTACACGCTCAACCAAGAGATTAAACAAAAAAAGGTTCCGTCAAATATTAATTCCTTCCAAAAATACTGACAGACAGAATATTTTGAACTACATATATGTATCATTTAATCCCGACGTATTCAGGGCTCATGATCTACAGCATTTTCAATTATACATGTATTAATTTAGTATTTGATGCACACATCCATGCAGTCCGAGCGATGAGCCGTATTACTACAGATACATATTCACAAATAGTCATAAATACTTCCGATCAAGCGTGCAAGAAAAGGCTATCCCACAATTGAACCACGTGACCAATCAACATCTGCATTCTATTGCAGAACTTTCTTTAGGAAAGGAACGCAGTTTTAATAAAATAAACCAAAAAATATCAGAATATGGCAAACAGTTTCCCCAACTCCCTTTCAGAAAAAGAAGAAAAAAAAAAAAAAAAAAAGAATAAAAACAAGATTCAAATGACGAAAATCAAAAAACTAATTTTCAGAGCAGCCGACAGACTAACATGAGGCTCTTTCTAAATTATTGCTAACAAGATTTGAAGATTTCAAATTCATTTATGTTTCCAACAAAACATTACAAATCAATTATAAGCATTTAAAAAAAAAATTAAGAAATACATGTTGGAAACAGAGGGTTCACTAAAAAGCAATGCTTGTACAAGTATGAACACCTCAAATGAAACTTAGGAATAATGAGTAATTAAATTAACTAATCTGTAACTACAAAAGGAAGTACAAAATAGGCGAAAGAAAAAGGGGGATGCCAACAGAGACGAGAAAGGGATAAGACAATACTTTACACGGCAAAGATAGAAGAACCCGGTCATAATACAAAGAGTAGACAATGGCAAAAAGGAGTGAGAGATCGAGGGTACAGAAAATAATACTAAATGATGAGCTGCATGTGGGGTTGAAAAGGACATAAGGAAAGAGAAATGCGCGTTATAAAGAAAATAAGCATGAGAAGGAACAATATAATAAATCGAATTACATCTTGAGTCAATGAGCGGAGAACGATTAACTATTGCTAAATATTTTCTTGAGGAATTGACGAGGTAACTCATGTGGGGTTGTATATAGATGTCCTGTTAATACAAACAAAATGGTATATATATATATATATATATACATGAACATTAACAAAAATCTAAAAAATCTATTATCTTCAACGTCTTTATCATTCAAATCTCAGGTTGATCTTTTAGCTACGTACACCATCGTAGGAATGGCAACGCAAGGTCGTCAGGACCAGTTCCAGTGGGTATCCAGCTTCAAGATTGCCTGCAGTTTGAATAGTATTACCTTTGATACAGTGAAAGACCCGAATACCATCGACAACGACAACGTACGTACCGATTTACTCATCCTTCGACCCGTATCAGTTAATTGGTCGATTACCGGTCACGTGTGATTCGTTTATTGAGCGTTTCTCAATTTCTTTTATTTGTCATGATGTTAATCATAGCATTTATCTCTCTCTCTTTGAAATTACACTTTATTCTATTCTCAAGTAATTGATCTAGCGTGTTTTCTTCAGATCTTTGCCGGCAATAGTGACCGAAACACCGTGATTTACAATCGCTTTCCCGTGCCAATGTTGTGCCGATATGTTCGCCTGTTACCTTACACTTGGCGTGAACGTATTTCTCTTCGTATGGAGCTCTTTGGAGAACTTCTTCGTGAGTTTCAATCACCTTCATTCGTATAAAGAAAGGGTAGAATGTGACATAGTATATTTATATTAAATGAGCTAGTGTATCAGGGTGACGGTCCCGGGCTTTTGCCCGAGGAAACACGTACCCAAGAAATGGGGGATGTTCACGGTTTACAGAGTAAAGACAACAACTTATCAGGTTCTCTAATGTTGTAGAATACAAAACATTATTGAGTTTTACCGTTTAATCATTAAATTAGAACAAATGAGAAGAAGAGAAACATCCCAGAACTGTGAAAGTTCGAGAAAAATATGAAAACAAACAACAACAAAAATCATAGTTGTAAGGCAACTTTAAATCAGCTCTACAGTCATGTCAGTAGATTTAAAGGACAAGTCCACTCGAAAAATAACTTACTTTCAAAAAAAGCAGAAAAATCAGACAAACCAATCAAAAAAAAGTTTGAGCAAGATCGGATAACTAATAAGTAAGTTATAAATTTTTGAAAAAGTATGTAAAACTATGGAACAATGAGAATCGCAACACAAATTGACAAGATGGTTATCAATTTATGACGTCATGTCCTCACAACTTATCAATTGCTTTACATAGTTTAATCCCATTAATTTCCCTTTTTATCCCCAAAACTTGATTTCCCAATACCTTTGCCCAGGTTATATGATTTGTATCATATTGCGTTCATGACATTTCCCAAAAACTTTTATGAATTTTGAAGAATTGATACTATTTTCTGAATATTGTATTTCATAATTATTGATTTTTATATAAATAGTTTATCAAAATTCAATTTTCTCATGATTTAACTTGACAAAAATTACTCTTTATTTGTGCATCCACACAAACACATAATTACTAACAATCTAACTTGGATGCTGGTGTGAAGAAATAAGATTCTTAGGGTGAAAATAGAAAATTTATATTATCAATGTACAGAAAATAATTAGTGGATAGTGAGGACCATATGTCACAGATTCATGAGTGAGTTGCCAATTTGTGTAGTGATTTTCAAAGTTTTTCATGGCACTAAAAATTCATAACTTTCTTATTAGTTATCCGATTCAGCTCAAACTTATTTTGATTGGTTTTTCTGATTTGTCTGGTTCTATTGAAAGTAAGTTATTTTTCGAGTGGACTTGGGCTTTATAATGTGGGGTTGTTTAGCTGTATGGTTAGTACTCAAATGAAGACACATAGAGAAACATCAGAGTGAAGTTGCAATCCAGCATGACTGGTTATATTGTGTATAGAAGAGCCCATACACCACAGTGTACATTAACTGTGTGTATGTGTGTATAGCATGTAGCATTGAGTCAATGTATAAGATCACATATTACATCCCCCTTACAGAAAAATAAACTGAGTCCATAATGTCCAAACTTGAAGTATCCAAAGATGAAGTCCTATCAATAAGTCAGTTTTTCTGGCTTCTTGATTACCCGGCCACTGCGGGTGGTCTGCTGGTGGTTGGGGATTGGGACAGGGTTTGGGCCAGGGTTTGGGCCAGGGTTTGGGGCAGGGGTTGGGGCAGGAGAACCTCTGATGTCGGGCGTTGGATCAAGCGTCATCTCTTCGCGTGTATGAGGATCGGGTGTCTTGGTTACCTCCTCATCATGATGGATACGCCTGGGCTCAATATCAGCGAGGTGTTGCCGGTTTCTGCGTAGCACCCTTCCATTAGGCGTCTCGACGAGATATGACCTAGGCTCATGGCATTGCTCACGAACAGTAGCTGTTATCCAGTGACGTGATGTCTGGTCTTGGACTCTCACAAGCTGCCCAGGTGAGAGTGGTGCTAGGTCATGGGCTGATTTGTCGTGATGATACTTCTGGCTCTGCTGTCGAAGCTGCATACGATGGTTAACATCATCACGACCAGGGGAGTTGTTGCGGATTCGAGTTGGTAAGTTGTCCTTCATCTTCCTCCCGTAAAGAAGCTCAGCTGGGCTTGGTATGCGGCTGTCAATGGGAGTGGCACGGATACATAGTAGAGCCATGTTGGGGTCGATGCCACTCGCTTTAGCTTTCTTGAGCGTATTCTTGACAGTTTGAATCATTCGCTCAATGAAGCCATTTGACCTGGGGTAGTGGGGAGAGGAAGTAACATGGCTGAATCCCCACTGTGTAGCAAAATCTCTGTATGTTGAGGAGTCAAAATGTCTTCCGTTGTCGCTAACGATTCTTTCTGGAACTCCTTGTTCTGCGAACACCTGACGGGTCGCATTGACTACTGCAGCACTGGTACACTCTTGAGGCATTTTCCGGATGAAAGGGAACTTTGAGAAGTAATCTGCAATGATGAGATAATTGTTCCCTTCAAAGTGAAATAAGTCTGTACCTAAGACTTGCCAGGATCGTGTAGGTATCTCGTGCTGGAGAAGAGTCTCATGGGGCTGCGAGGGCTTGTACTCTTGGCAGACTGAGCAGCCTTTCACCAGGACCTCGATATCGTCATTGATTGATTCCCAGTACACAGAAGCCTTAGCCCGAAGTCGTGTCTTCTCGATACCTTGATGACCTTCGTGAAGCTTGCTCAGTATGTACTCCCTCATGGAGTGTGGAATAAGGATTCGTTCACCATTCAGGATCAGTCCATCCTCAACTGCAAGTTGATCTCGAAAGGCCCAGTATCTCTGCAGCTGCAGTGGTAGCTCACGTCTCTTCTCTGGCCACCCTTTCACAATCACCGTCTGTAGTGCTGCAAACTCTGCATTCTTGGCTGTTTCCTCCTTCAACTGACTCAAACGGTCTGGAGCAAACTGTACAAAGTTGATTTGCAGGTCAAGGTGGATGTGTTCTGGAGGACCAAGAGGACGTCTGGATAGGCAGTCAGCTACTGGTACATCCTTACCAGGCTTGTAGACAATTGTCAGCTTGTATGGCTGTAGACGAAGTAACATACGCTGGAGTCTAGGTGGAGCCGCTGCCAGGTGCTTATACTGGATCATCTCCAGGGGCTTGTGGTCCGTCTCAACTATGAAACTTTTCCCGTACAGGAAGATGTGGAATCGTTCACAGCCGAAGACCACTGCAAGCAGCTCTCGCTCTATGTTGGCGTACCTCGTCTCTGCATCACTGAGGGCCTTTGATGCAAACGCGATACCCTTTCCATCCTGCAGTAGAGTCGCTCCCAAGCCCTGCAGAGAAGCATCTACCTGCAGTACCGTAGGCTTGTTAACATCGAAATACGCCCGAGTTGCATCGTGACATACCTTGTCACGTAAATCATTGAAGGCAGACTGGTGCGTTGGAGTCCATTGGAATTCAGCGTCCTGCTTCAAAAGACCACGTAGGCTTGCAGTCTGGGCTGAAAGATTTGGTATGAATGGGCTAAGGTAGGTTATCATACCAAGGAACTCACGAAGCTGGCTCTTGTTCTCAGGTGGAGACATTGACTTGATTGCCTCGACCTTGTGAGGATCCGGATGGACGCCATCTGCATCGTAGATCATACCGAAGAAGGAAATCTGGTTGACCTTTATGCTGCACTTGCCACTGTTGAACTGCAGACCGTACTTCACAGCTTTGGACATGAGGTGGTGCAGATTCTGATCGTGCTCTGCTTCACTCTTGCCGAACACAACAATATCGTCAGCGATCCCTATTGTGCCGGGGCAACCTTCGAGGATTTCGTCCATTCGCTGCTGGAATACATCCTGAGACATTGCTAGACCGAAAGGCATCCTGAGATATCTGTACCGTCCAAAGGGACTGTTGAAGGTAGTCAGAAGTGAACTGTCATGGTCGAGCTTGATAGACCAATAACCGTTCTTGGCATCGAGTTTGCTGAAGTGTCGAGCACCTGATAGCTTGTGTATCACCTCATCTGTCGTGATAGTGCGATAATGGCAACGTCGAATAGCTCGGTTGAGATCCTTGAGATCCAAGCAGACACGGAGTTTGCCATTCGACTTCCTTGAAACAGCGATGCTGCTGACCCATGCTGAAGGCTCAATGACTTTAGTGATCACGCCATTACCTTCCATGTCATCAAACTCACGCTTCAGTTCATCTCGTAGGTGGATTGGGCACCGTCTAGGAGCATGGACAACAGGCTGAACGTCTGGATCAAGAACAATACGATATTCTCCTGGGAAGTTGCCAATTTTGTCAAACTGGTCTGGATACTGCCTTACTAGGTCATCAGTAGAGCTTATCTGTGCTGAATGCTTGATCTCGTTGATGCGTGTGTGTAGAGTAAGCAGCTTCAGTTTCAAGCCTGTGTCACATCCGATAATCGCTGGACCCCTGGACTCAACGATGTAGAATGTAGCATAAAGCCAAGTTGAGTTGTTGAAACGACAGGGCAGCCGAACCGAACCGAAGTGCATCACTGGTGTTTCGTTGTAAGCGAACAACCGTGCACTTGAATTATGCACTGATTGAGGGTGAGGAACTCCATCCTTAGTGAGATGCCCAGGGTACATCCCTCGAAACATCCGAAGAGGAAGTGTGTTGCCCTCCGCACCGGAGTCAACCTTCGAACGCAGTTTCATTATGGTTCTCTCATCCCGTCTGACTTCCACGTACGCTATTGTTAGGTCGTCCCTGTCATCCACCTGCACAGCACTAATACCTGACACAATAATTCGATTGAACGACAGGACATCCACAGCGTCATTCAGTAGTGGGACCGCTGCTGCTGCTTCAATATTGTTCGTGCTTTGAATGGAGTGAACGTTCTTGCCTCCACGATGTGGCGTAGCGTATTTAGCTTTCTGCTTCCACTTCTGGGTACTTGAAGCTGGAGATCTCCCAGACCACTGTGTACTTGGAGCTGGAGACCGACAAACACTCCTCCAGTGATTCAACTTTCCACAGCTGTTACACTTGGTGCCATAAGCCGGACATGCTTCCCGTGGACTGCGAGCATGATTACCACTTGTTACTAGTGTTAGTCTTCCGACGAACTACATCAATCGATGCAGGCTGAATATGTGTCTGTACTTGCGCTAGTTGAGCCATGTGCATCTGCGATGCTTCAAATGTTCTACTCAGCTCAAGCATCTGTGTAAGAGTGAGGGACTTGTTCTTC